TCAGGGAGATAAGATGTTTTCTAATGGTAGTTTTGAAGGTGATGAATGTGTCTGCAGTTCTAGAGTTCTCAGGTAGGGTATTCCAGATTTTAGGGCCTTTGACATACATTGAATTTTTGTAAAGGTTTAGTCGGACACGGGGAATGTCGTAGAGATGTTTGTGTCTGGTGTTATGCCTGTGGGTTCTGTCACAACTATCAAGAAAGCGTTTTAGGTCAAGGTTGATATTAGAGTTTAAGGCCCTGTAGATGTAGATTGTACAGTAGTAAGTGTGGATGTACTGAACTGGGAGTAAGTTTAGGTTTATGAAGAGTGGGGGGGGTGTTGCCAGGGATGGGATTTAGTGATTATTCTTACTGCAGCTTTTTGTTGGGTTATTATTGGCTTTAGGTGTGTTGCTGCAGTTGATCCCCAAGCACAAATAGCATAGGTGAGGTATGGATAAATAAGTGAGTGGTATAGTGTGAGAAGGGCATTTTGCGGCACGTAGTATCGTATCTTGGAGAGGATCCCAACCGTTTTGGATACTTTTTTGGTTATATGCTGGATATGGGTGCTGAAATTCAGGTTGTTGTCAAGGTATAAGCCTAGGAATTTTCCCCCATTATTTTTGGTAATTAGAGTGTTGTCAATCTTAATGTTAATTTGTGCATCTCCTGCTCTGCTACCAAACAATATAGTAGGTTTTGTCAGTGTTAAGCGTAAGTTTATTGGCTGTCATCCAAGTCGATATTTTAATCAGCTCCTCATTCACAATGGTGTTGAGGGTGGCAAGATTAGGGTGAGAGATGACATAAGTCGTGTCATCAGCAAAGAGAATGGGTTTCAGGTGTTGGGATACGTTTGGAAGGTCATTGATGTATATGAGGAAGAGCAGGGGACCAAGGACACTTCCCTGCGGAACTCCAGTATCAAGTGGCCGTGTTTCTGATGCTGTCTTTAATGGTGACGTACTGATACCTATTAGTAACGTAAGATTTGAAATAAGCAAGCGCATGGCCTCTTATACCGTAATGATCAAGTTTGTGGAGTAGGATGTCGTGGTCTACTGTGTCAAAAGCTTTTCTTAGGTCAATAAAAATTCCTAGTGGATATTCCTTATTTTCCAATGCTGTGTAAAGCAGATCTAGCATTTTTATGATTGCATCATTAGTGCTTTTATTTTTCCTGAATCCAAATTGGCAGGGGTTGAGTATGTTTTGAGCCATTATAAATGAATACAGTCTCCTGTGCACGAGTTTCTCAAAGATTTTGGATAGCAATGGTAAGTTAGATATTGGCCTATAGTTGTTTAAGTCTGTAGGGTCACCACCTTTATGTATTGGTGTAACCCTTGCCATCTTGAGTAGTTTCGGGAAGGTGCTAGTCTCTAGTGACTTGTTAAAAAGTAATGAAATAGCATGCGAAAGGACATGGGCTGCTTGCTTGTACAGTAATGGTGGGACATGAGACAGACTCCCCGAGTTATTTTTAAGTGACTTTATAATCTCAATGACTTCCGTGGGCTCAGTTGGTGCAAGATAGAAGGAATTAGGGAAATTCCCATCTAGGTAGTCCCTGGCATGGGCATTGGTATGTGGGATTTTACTGGCGAGATTAGATCCTATGTTTGAGAAGAAGTCGTTTATCTTGTTAGCTGTGTCAGTGGGATGTAGTGGTGTTTCATTAGGTTTAGTTAGGGCAATATTCTTGGTTTTTCTCAGTTTGTGGGTCCCTAGAATCTGAGAGAGTGTTTTCCAGGTCTTTTTTATATCTCCTCTAGTGTCTGTGAATCTACTGGAGTAGTATAGTTGTTTGGCTTTCTTTATTACTTTGGTGAGAGCTGATGAATAGTGTTTAAGAGTATCTTTGTGTATTAAGCCCTGTCTCTATTGCTTTTCATATTGGTGTTTCTTGTCAATGGATTTCAGAATGGTGCTGGTTAGCCATGAGCAACCAAGCCGTTTGTTTGTGATCTGTTTTGTTTTTATAGGACAATGTTTGTTGTATAGTCTAAGTAATTTGTTAAGAAAGATGTCTGTCCAGTCCTCAATACCATTGGCCTTGGAGAATTCTGTAGGCCAATCAGCAGTCTCTAGGTCAGCTGTGAACTTCCTTACTGAGGCCTCGACATGGAGTCTAAATGAGACTTTGTTGTATTCAAGTGGTGGTTTACTAATGTTTGTCAGGAGGAAGGTAGGGTAGTGGTCTGTAGTGCTATCTGTGATTATCCCTGATTTAAGGGGGGCTAGTATATTGGTCCATATGTGGTCTATTATGGTTGCACTTGTCTCAGTGAGCCTGGTTGGTTTAGTTATTGTTGGTATGAGAAGTGTGTTGTTCATATTGTTGATGAAATCAGTTACAGGCTGATCATAAAGTGTGGGTTTGAGTAATTGCGAAGCATTTGGTAGGTCATTTATGTATAGGAGAAAGAGAAGAGGGCCAAGGACACTTCCCTGTGGGACACCAACTGTAATTGGTTGTGCGGAAGAGCTTGCCCCATTTGCGTACACATATTGGCTTCTGTTGCTGAGGTAAGACTTGTGGTAGTTGAGGGAGTGCCCTCTAATACCATAGTGTGACAATTTTACGTGGAGCAAGTCATGGTCAACTGTATCAAAAGCTTTACGTAAGTCAGTGAAGATCCCCAGTGGGACTTCTTTTTTCTCTATTGCAGTGTATATATGTTCTAGCATGTGTATAATAGCATCATTAGTATTTTTATTAGGCCTGAATCCAAATTGGCAGGGGTTGAGAATGTTATGGGAGTTGAGGTAGGAGTGGATTCGTTTATGAATTAATTTTTCGAAGATTTTTGAGAGAGGGTGTAAATTGGATATTGGCCTATAGTTATTCAACTCTGTTGGTCCCCTTTCCTTTATGGATCGGGGTGACCCTTGCTATTTTGAGAACTGTAGGGAAGGTGGAGGATTCAATGGATTTGTTAAAGAGTGTTGCAATGATTGGTGATAGTACTTGTGACGCTTTTTTGTATATAAAGGGTGGTAAGGTATTTAAATCTCCTGCCTTGTTTTTCAGTGCGTTGATAATAAGGGAGACTTCGTATGGGTTAGTCGGAGCTAGGAACAGTGTGTTCGGGTAGTTGCCAGTGAGGTAGTCATTTGGTGGGGTATCTGAGCTTGGGATATTATTGGCAAGGTTTTGACCTATAGTGGAGAAGAAATCATTGAGTCTGCTGTTTCTGTTGGTGGGAGTTGGGGTTCATCTGATTTTGCTAATTTTATTTCGCTATGTCGTGATATCTTTTTTGTTCCCAGAATTTCTGATAGGGTCTTCCAGGTCTTTTTTATATCACCTCGTAAGTTGGATAATCTGTTCTCATAATACAATTTTTTTGCCCTTCTTATCAGGCTGGTTAGGATTGACGAGTAACGTTTTGTTTGGTCTCTGGTTATGTGACCCATTCTGTACTGTTTTTCATATCGGTGTTTTGTATTTATGGATTTGAGAATGCTGGGTGTTAGCCAGGGACTGTTCAGTCTCTTAGCTGTCATCTGTTTAGTTTTTTTTAGGGCAGTGCTTGTTATAAAGGTATTGGGTCTCTTTTTTAGAAAATTATTAAAACATTCGTCAATATCTGTATAGATTTCTAGCTCAGTGTGCCAGTCAATGTTTGTTACTGCTGTTGTGAAGTTATTAATGGCTGCCTCATTGTGAAGTCTGAAGGTGACTTTAGTAGTGTCTTGGGGTATTTTACCAAGAGTTGTTATGAGGAAAGTAGGGTAGTGGTCTGTGGTATTATCTGTAATTATGCCTGATTTTAAAGGGGATATGGTGTTGGTCCAGATGTGGTCAAGTAGGGAAACACTAGTCTCTGTAACTCTTGTAGGTTTTGTTACTGTTGGTAGCAACATGCAGTTACTCATTGTGTTTGTGAATTCAGTAAAAGTGTGGGTCCTGGTCTTGCAGGAGATTTATATTGAAGTCACCTGAGAGTAGTAAGTGATCTTTGTTCATGCGTGCATCAGTTATCACACTTCCTAGGCTTTGACTAAATTGGCTAATGTTTGATTGTGGAATTCTGTAGATGTTTATCACTGTGAGAGGTTTTTGTAGGTATTTGGATTTGAATTTAGCTATTATATATTCCCCATGTTCATCCCTTGTGCAAGTATTAGTGATACATTCTAGTTGGTCTGAGTAGTATATAGCAGTGCCACCCCCTTGTTGGTCTGGCCTACAGTTGTGTATGGCTTTGTAACCAGAAATGGCATAGACATCTGTAGTATCAGGCTTTAGCCAGGTTTCAGTTAGTGTAATAATGGACAAAATGGCATGCAAGGAATTTAGTAATGCTAGGAGGTCATCATAATGCTTGCTTAAAGATCTGATATTGTAGTTAAAGATAGTTATGTTGTTGTTGGCTCTGAGAAGTGCCTTTGATTGTTCTGCTGTGTAGTAATTACAGTAACTGTTTGAATCATTTAAGTCATTAAATAAGAGGTTGGTATCAGGATCAATGCTTGTAATCATAAGATTTGTAGTGAATCTATAGTTAGAATTAAGTAAAAAATAAAGTAAATATTCTAAAGCTAAAAAAAATAGCACCTGAATTATTTAACAAATGTAAAAAATAATGAGCTAAGGTAGTTTTTTAAAGCTAAAATAAAGGAGACAATATAAAAGGGGCTAAAATAATTTGTGGTGAACAAATAAAGTGATGATCAAATAATGGAGCTTGGGAATATGATAGTAGGCAGTACTTTAAAGGTAATTCTTTAAAGTTAGAATTATAATATAAAATTATAATATAAAAGGGACTAATATAAGTTGTGGTGAACAATAAAGTGGTAATCAAATAAATGAGCTTTGGAGTATAATGGCAAAATAGTGAACTTATTAACTTTAGCACCTGAGAATAGCACCTTGATTATTTTAACAATTGTGAATATATGATCTAAGGTAGTTATATAGAGCTAAAATAAAGGACAAAAAATATATAAGGGACTGTATAGATTTCTAGCTCAGTGTGCCAGTCAATGTTTGTTACTGCTGTTGTGAAGTTATTAATGGCTGCCTCATTGTGAAGTCTGAAGGTGACTTTAGTAGTGTCTTGGGGTATTTTACCAAGAGTTGTTATGAGGAAAGTAGGGTAGTGGTCTGTGGTATTCATTAGAAAGGTTAATTGAGTTGCAGGACGAACGTTCTGGGTTTCTCCATGCACAAACTGGAACAGACTTAGTGATGTGGAGTCTATTCCAGTTTTAAATCTCTGAGTCTTCCAGGCAGCGGGACGCATGCCAGGCTAAGCCTTGGTGGCCCTCACAACCTCTGGAGTCCCAATGGGACGCATGCCAGGCTAAGCCTTGGTGGCCCTCACAACCTCTGGAGTCCCAGTGGGACGCATGCCAGGCTAAGCCTTGGTGGCCCTCACAACCTCTGGAGTCCCAATGGGACGCATGCCAGGCTAAGCCTTGGTGGCCCTCACAACCTCTGGAGTCCCAATGGGACGCATGCCAGGCTAAGCCGTGGTGGCCCTCACAACCTCTGGAGTCCCAACAACAACACATGTCAGTGATGAGATATTTTCAAAGCATCACCAGAAAGCTGCTGGAAGAGCAGGAATATCAGGAGAGCTGCGGACAAGATCAGTGAGCGTGTAGAGAGGAACATCAAGGCTGCACAGGACACCACGGCTGTGAGCACACCAGATCTATATACTATTTACAAGGAAAGTGTCCATTATAGTTCTTGTAGTTGAAGTTAGTCACTGGAAGTCCACAAACCCATCAAGGAACATATCCTTGATGCTGGCCAAGAATTCTTGGTCATAGCAATTAAAATAATATTCGGCAGCGTTTGCACCTTCAGTCAAGGCAGGAAACATTACAAAAATGAAGACATTGATGTCACGAACGAAGATTAAACGTCTCGAAAATAAAAAAAGGAAATTAAGTGCATACTTGGACTTGGTAGAGAGGAACAAGGAAGATCAGATTAAGGTTAGCTCTTGGTGTGAATTATTAATATACAGTTGTTTTGTATTTATGTTAAACTATTGCAGTATTTATAATTTATTTTGTTTTTGTAGTAAATGATTACTTGAGTAAATAAGTTTATTTAGGCACAGGTACATGAGTACAGTTTTCATACTTAATGTAAACTACCCAGGATAACCCAGAATAGTCAAAGTGAGTTGTTTCCATTGTGATTCTTTGGCCTATAGTTATTAATATATAAAAGTGATAATGTATGAGGACTTAAACCAGAATATTGTGACAAGTCATCAGGATTTAAAACTGAGAAAAGATTTCTGTAACCAGCTGGTGCATGGTATCCTTCATCAGCAGCTCTTGTACCTGTGTTCTCCCTTGTCTCCAGTGTCCTCCTCTATGGTGTCAATTTTCACCAGTTACTTTTTTTTGCATCCTCAGTTTGTTTGCAAATTTATTTTTATTATCAGCACACAAACAATTTCTTATCTTCACTAGACAGGTAATTTAGTTTACATATTTATTTTTTTATTATCACACTGGCTGATTCCCACCAAGGCAGGGTGGCCCGAAAAAGAAAAACTTTCACCATCATTCACTCCATCACTGTCTTGCCAGAAGGATGCTTTACACTACAGTTTTTAAACTGCAACATTAACACCCCTCCTTCAGAGTGCAGGCACTGTACTTCCCATCTCCAGGACTCAAGTCCGGCCTGCCGGTTTCCCTGAATCCCTTCATAAATGTTACTTTGCTCACACTCCAACAGCACGTCAAGTATTAAAAACCATTTGTCTCCATTCACTCCTATCAAACACGCTCACGCATGCCTGCTGGAAGTCCAAGCCCCTCGCACACAAAACCTCCTTTACCCCCCTCCCTCCAACCTTTCCTAGGCCGACCCTACCCCGCCTTCCTTCCACTACAGACTGATACACTCTTGAAGTCATTCTGTTTCGCTCCATTCTCTCTAACATCTCCGAACCACCTCAACAACCCTTCCTCAGCCCTCTGGACAACAGTTTTGGTAATCCCGCACCTCCTCCTAACTTCCAAACTATGAATTCTCTGCATTATATTCACACCACACATTGTCCTCAGACATGACATCTCCACTGCCTCCAGCCTTCTCCTCGCTGCAACATTCATCCCCATGCTTCACACCCATATAAGAGCGTTGGTAAAAACTATACTCTCATACATTCCCCTCTTTGCTTCCAAGGACAAAGTTCTTTGTCTCCACAGACTCCTAAGTGCACCACTCACCCTTTTCCCCTCATCAATTCTATGATTCACCTCATCTTTCATAGACCCATCCGCTGACACGTCCACTCCCAAATATCTGAATACATTCACCTCCTCCATACTCTCTCCCTCCAATCTGATATCCAATCTTTCATCACCTAATCTTTTTGTTATCCTCATTACCTTACTCTTTCCTGTATTCACTTTTAATTTTCTTCTTTTGCTCACCCTACCAAATTCATCCACCAAACTCTGCAACTTCTCTTCAGAATCATGTAATAAAATATTGTTAGGCACAAAAACTAACTGGTCAATGGTATAAAACTCGCAGCAAGTTTGAGTTAACAGAGAAAGAAAAGCAGTAATGAAAAACCTTATTAAGACAACATTTCACTTGCTACAAACAGTCCAGTATGACCGTCAGCTTCCCGTTAAATTCTGTATTTGCAAACATTTAAATGGAATCACTTGAAACTAATTGATTACCTGTAGTTTACCTGGAGAGAGTTCCGGGGGTCAACACCCCCGCGGCCTGGTCTATAACCATGCCTCCTGGTGGATCAGAGCCTGATCAACCAGGCTGTTACTGCTGGCTGCATGCAATCCAACGTACGAGCCACAGCCTGGCTGGTCAGGTACCGACTTTAGGTGCTTGTCCAGTGCCAGCTTGAAGACTGCCAGGGGTCTATTGGTAATCCCCCTTATGTATGCTGGGAGGCAGTTGAACAGTCTTGGGCCCCTGACACTTACTGTATTGTCTCTTAACATGCTAGTGACACCCCTGCTTTTCATTGGGGAGATTGCATCGTCTGCCGAGTCTTTTGCTTTTGTTGTGAGTGATTTTCGTGTGCAAGTTCGGTACTAGTCCCTCTAGGATTTTCCAGTTGTATATAATCATGTATCACTCCCGCCTGCGTTCCAGGGAGTACAGGTTCAGGAACTTCAAGCGCTCCCAGTAATTGAGATGTTTTATCTCCGTTATGCGCGCTGTGAAGGTTCTCTGTACATTTTCTAGGTCAGCAATTTCACCTGCCTTGAAAGGTGCAGCTAGTGTGCAGCAATATTCCAGCCTAGATAGAACAAGCAGCCTGAAGAGTGTCATCATGGGCTTTGCATCCCTAGTTTTGAAGGCTCTCATTATCCATCCTGTCATTTTTCTAGCAGATGTGATTGATACAATGTTATGGTCCTTGAAGGTGAGATCCTCCGACATGATCACTCCCAGGTCTTTGACGTTTTTTTTTGCTCTATTTTGTGGCTGGAATTTGTTTTGTACTCTGATGAAGTTTTAATTTCATCATGTTTACCATATCGGAGTAATTGAAATTTCTCATCGTTGAACTTCATATTGTTTTCTGCAGCCCATTGAAAGATTTGGTTGATGTCCGCCTGGAGCCTTGCAGTGTCTGCAATGGAAGACAGTCATGCAGATTTGGGTGTCATCTGCAAAGGAAGACACGGTGTTGTGGCTGACATCCTTGTCTGTCTGTACATTTTCTAGATCAGCAATTTCACCTGCTCTGAAAGGTGCTTTTAATTCCGAAAGATGTTTCTCTGATGATGTACGTCAATGACCAGTTGATAGGCACCCCTAAATAGGCTGTGGTTCACATGTTGAACTGCGTGCTGTCATTAGTAACTTGGTTGATCAGACTTTGATCTACCAGACCTGGTATGGGACCATGTCATGGGGGTGTTGACCCTGAGAATCATCCTTAAGGACCTTTACCAGCTACTTAATCTCAGCAGGGTTGACTCGTCAATTCACTTCACTCTAGAAACTGAAGTAAATAATAATATGCCCTCTCTAGACATCCTTATAAACCCATACATGGTATATACCTGGAGAGGGTTTCAGGAGTTACTGCCTCCACAACCCAGTTTGTGACTAGGCCTCATGGTGGATCAGGGCTTGATCTACCAGGCTATTACTGTTAGCCGCACGTAAACCAACGTGTGAACCACAGCCCAGCTGGTCAGGTACTGACTTTAGGTGCCTGTCCAGTGCATTCTTGAAGACAGCCAGGGGTCTATTGGTAATCTCCCTTATGTATGTTGGGAGGCAGTTGAACAGTCTTGGGGCCCCTGACACTTATTGTGTTGTCTCTTATCATGCTAGTGGCGCCCCCTGCTTTTTGTTGCGGGGACGTTGCATTATCTGCAGAGTTTTTTGCTTTCATAGGCAGTGATTTTCATGTACAAGTTTGGTACTAATCCCTCTAGGATTTTCCAAATGTATATAATCATGTATCTCTTCCCTCCTGCATTCCAGGGAGCACAGGTTGAGGAACTTCAAGCGTTCCCAGTAATTGAGGTGTTTTATGGCAGTTTTGTGTGCCGTGAAGGTTCTCTGTACATATTCTAGGTCAGCAATTTTACCTGTTCTGATAGGTACTGTTAGCGTGCAGCAATATTCCAGCCTAGATAGCTCCTGTTTTTCCAAGTAACCTTACAGTAAGGCTACATATAAAAATGATCTGGTCCATTTTTTGGTCACATCACAGCATAACGACAAAAGAGATAATGAATGAGATAAATAAGGCTTATCTTTATTGCTAAAATGTTCTGCTTGCACAACAGGTTTCTTCAGTCAAATACAGGCAAATAAAATTGAAGACAGTAGTTGCAGTTTTGAGGCAGTCAGTCCCTCGTTTATGAAGAGGCTTGTGCAAATAAAACATTTTGGCAGTAAAAATACCCAAGTGTTGCAAATGTGTCTTATTCATCAAAACTGACTAGATAGTAGACCAATACACACAGTTTTTCTCTACATGTGACATCATCTCAAACATCACCAAGATTTTGAACCAGGGTGACAACAAAGTGGCTGTCATAACCTCATTTACCATCTGTGACCTCATTAGGTGAAAAAACAGTAACAGTAACAAAGAAGCTGCTCTGAGATTTTATGCAGTAGATGGGACAAGATTTATATACTAGAAACCCCTAGAAATTTCAGTAAGCATATGAACGACCATAATTATTCAACTTAATGGCTAATGGAAACAAAAAGTGTGTTCAGCATATGAATTCACATACCCATCTAAGTAGATACAGTATTTTAATTCAAAACTCTTATAAAACGAAGGGAAAATATTAGGAAATACTATGAATCTGCTATCATCATGATATCTAACCATTGTTGTTATTATTGCAATCAAAACTAAGTGCTAAACTCACAAGGGTCATACAGCATGACATCTAACAAAAACACAAAACTGAGGCAGCTTCTTCCTGTTGACAAGACCTTTGGCAATACAGATTTTATACCAGGTATAGTGTGGATAAGTACAGGCAACTACTGCCACTAGCATTAACACTCCTCACTGTGCCAGCGAGACTTGGGACCTATCTAAGCATGAGCTAATAGGCCTACTGCAGTGCTTCCCTGATATGCTCTGCATAACTATGGGCTTTCTGCATGCACAACTAAATGTCACTCATCTCTGTATAAACATTGTATCATGCCAAAATAAAATACTTGTATTAGTACAGTGGTACTTCGAGTTTCGAACAGCCCCCAACTCGAACAGTTATGTAAGTGTATTTTTGTAAGTGCTTTTGTAAGTGTTTTTTTGGGGGTCTGAAACGGACTAATCTAATTTACATTATTCCTTATGGGAACAAATTCGTTCAGTATCGGTACTCAAACAGCCTTCTGGAACGAATTAAGTTCAAAACTCGAGGTACCACTGTATTATTATTATTATTAACCCTTTGAGGGTTTCGGCCGTACTAGTACGGCTTACGACCCAGGGTTTTTGACATACTAGTACGCCTAAATTCTAGCGCTCTCAAATCTGGTGAGAGAAAGCTGGTAGGCCTACATATGAAAGAATGAGTCTATGTGGTCAGTGTGTGCAGTATAAAAGAAATCCTGCAGCACACAGTGCGTAATGAGAAAAAAAACTTCGACCGTGTTTTTGGAATAAAACAGCGACTTTGCACTGTATTTTCGTATGGTATTTATTGTTGTATTCTACTTTTCTTGGTCTCATTTTATAGAATGGAAGACATATTACAAAAATTGAGATGATTTTGACTGGTTTTACAATGAAAAGTACCTTGAAATTGAGCACAAAGTAGCAGAAATGTTTGATTTTTATCAAAGTTCAAAAGTAAACAAATCATGCTAAGCGTCCAATACACGTCAACTGGTGAGTCTAATATTCTTTCACAAGTACACTGATATTATTTATACCATTTCTACACTAATGCAGCAGTCTTCATAACAGTAAATCTTCTATTTTTTGTAATAATAAAAATTCAAAGTGGAAAGCCAAAGAAATATAAGAGGGGCCTGGGGATGTGACTAACGAACAGAGAACTTGTTATTTTGTTTATTCTGGACCCTGTTCGGAAATAGAAAAAATGGAGTTCTAGCGAAATAGTTATGATTTTTGTCGACTAGTACATTGGAATTGGCCAAAAATAGGGCTCAAAGTGGGCAAAATCGCCGATGCATAAACATCGTCGAGACCGCTAACTTCGCAAGAACATAATTCCGTAAGTTTTCCATCAAATTTCATACTTTTGGTGTCATTATGATCGGGAAAAGATTCTCTATCTTTTCATAAGATTTTTTTTTTTTTTTTTTTTTTTTTTTTTTTTTTTTTTTTTTTTTTTTTTTTTTTTTTTTTTTTTGGAAATTTGGCCAACCCTGAGAACAAGTTTCGGAGAGGGCCTGTCGACCCTCAAAGGGTTAAACACCTGACTATGAGCCTCTATCCTGCTTAATATGTTCCATAACTACCAGATATGTTTTATTAGACTTAATAAAGCCTTCTGCATAGGCAAAACCTTATCATAATAAAGTGCCTCAGTATTGCTTTTGTCTTTATTAGCTAAAACTCATTCTTGTGTTCATGTGTAGTCACTTTTGTATTATTCTTACCTTAAAGATCTAATTTTCAGTTATTTCTTAATTTTAATGTAGACATAATATATATTTCAGAAGATAAATAGTAATGGCAATTGTTCTGGAGGTGCAAGTGACACATTGGAGTGTGCTGTGAGCAAGAGTGACACAATTTCACAGATAATATAGTGTGGTGGTAGTTACCACTTCAGATACAATTGATTTTTTGTGTACATTAACAGGTAAATGAACACTTATACTCTGTGATATTCAGTTTTACTAAGTGACAAATAACAGCACTTTTTGGTAAGTTAGGTAGAGTAACTGTTCCTGAGATTATATATTTCATAGAATTTTTATTACAGCTATCAAGTAAAAATCATGAGGAAGAAGCAGCTGGAGGATCACACCTGGTTAAACACCCACACACTGACGAGGAATTGGAAAATTTAAAGCGAAGGAAAAGGGAAATTGATAAAGAGAAAATGGTTAGTTGTATATCTGGGAGTACTATAGTATATGTTCATCTTGTATTCCTTTTTTCTTTTCGTTTCTTTTTTTCATGAATAAATAGTTTAAAATATAAGAATTAGGTATCCCCAGTAGGGCAGTACTGTACCTGGCTATTTTCTTACCCTTTTTTTTTTTCTGCAGTGTACACAGAGGTGTTTTTCGCACACTTAACTCTGCACATTGAGAGGTGTTCTTCGCACTCTCTTAACTCTGGGGTGTACATCAAGAGGTGTTCTTTGCTCACTGTTAACTCTGGGATGCACATCCTCTCATCTCAAAACATTTGTGCATGCTCATAATTATAAGTTTACTGAAATTGGTCAGAGTAGCATCCTTGTAGTGGAAATGGCTGTGTTGCTCTTGAGGGATCTTTGTCTCTGAAGTAAATAAGTGGAATTGAATAAACTACATACAATCCTGAAAAATGTAGATACTGTATCTCATTACCATGGCTTGTATAGATCGATAACCATGGCTTAATAGATCACAAGCCCTTAAATATGATATTAAAACTCAACTGCATTTTAGTTGGTCATGGATCATCAACAAGTCATGAATGAGTAGAAAAACAGAGAAACAGAAGTAAATTCAAAGAATAGAGACACTAGATGTATCATATAACTTCAAAATGTATTAATCTAATGGAAATCAACTTTAACATCAATAGAGATAAGATTGTTATTAACCCTTTCAGGGTCCAAGGCCCAAATCTGGAGTCACGCACCAGTGTCCAAGAATTTTCAAAAAAAAAAGTTGTTATTTTTTCTTATGAAATTGTAGAGAATCTTTTTGTGAAGGTAATAAAACAAAAAGTACGAAATTTGGTGGAAAATTGACGAAATTATGCTCTCACGAATTTTGATGTCTCAGCGATATTTACGAATCGGCGATTTTGCCGACTTTGACTCCCATTTTAGGCCAATTACATTATTCCAATCAACCAAATTCTTAGCTATTTCACTAGTATTACTTCTATTCTATCGATTGAGCACAAGAAATCGCCAAGTCAACTGTTTCAACTACAAAATAAAGTGATCGGAAATTGTTAATTTGGCCAATTTAACACAAAGTTCAAAATATTCCAATTTCAAAATAGGGTCCAGAATGAACAATGTAGGCATTCCTGGCACTAAACTAACATTTCCTCTGTTCATTAGTTATGTTTTGAGGCTTTACAAATAAATTCCATTTTGATTTTTTATTCACATAATGAATTTTTATTCACACCAAAAAATAGAAGATTTACTGTTATGCAATATTGTAATAATTGTATAAATATCATCACCACATTTGTGAATGTATATTAGACCCACCAGCTGGCGTGTATTAGACATGTGAGGTCGTTTGTTTACTCTTGAATATCGGCAAAAATTTAACATTTCTGCTACTTTGAGCTCAGTTTCAAGCCATTTCCAGTGCTAAAACCAATCAAAATCATCTCTATTTCTGTAATATGTCTTCCATTCTATCAAATGAGACCAAGAAATCGCAAATACAACTATAAAAAACATACGAAAAAACACTGCAAAGTTGCTGTTTTAATCGAAAAATCATGATTTCATTTTTTTTCTCTCATTATACACAGTGTGCTGCAGGATCTGTTTTATGTGGTGCACACATACCACATAGATGTATTCTCTCATATCTAGGCCCAAATGTACCACTCACAGTTTATCAGAGTGAGCTGAGCTCATGGCGTAGATCTACGGTTTGGACCCTGAACATAAAGCCGTAGATCTACGGGACAGACCCTGAAAGGGTTAAGATTTTGTGAATTAGAAATGGGGACATCACAAGATATACCCAATCAGGGATTCAGAAGTATCTACAATGAACAAAGCTGGATCTAGAGCTAGAGGTTACTGCTTGCTCTTCCCCCTCCCATAAACAAAAATGAAAAATCAAACTAATTTATAACATTTTCATCCTAATGGGAGAGAGAAGTGTCTTATTATTCAACATTTCCCAAAGTTTGAACATTTCTACCCAAAAAAAAAAAAAAAAACATGGTATGGGTGGGGTTAGAACTCTTGGCAAGTGAGTCGTAAAACTCCAGGCCAGTCCATAAGCCACTGGTTCCATAATTTTAAATATTTACAGTGATTTTCTAATTAGAGTTCTACTACAGGCCAGTGCAGTACAGTGCAGCCTCTCCTCACTTAACGATGGAGTTCCATTCCTGAGACTACGTTGTTAAATGAATTCGTTGCTAAGTGAGGAGCATACTATAATGGTAGTGAGTTTGTGTCAACCATCTTTGATATTGTTTTAATGTCACCTTTGCACCATTTATAACATTTTAAATGTTTATACATTAGTGTACTTTATATTAAAATAAGCAGAATAGAGGAAATCAGCTCTAATAGACATTATTTAGGTATGAATACTGGTCAGAGCCCATCGTAAGTCCGAGACGTTGGTAAACGAGTATGTCACTAAGTTAGGAGAGGCTGTATACAGTGGTACCTTGACTTACGAGCGCTCCAACTTACAAGTTTTCCGAGTTACGAGCCATTGCTCGGTTGATTTTTTGCTTTGAGTTGTGAGCCAAAATCTGAGTTACGATTGAAAAAAAAAATATTTACTGTACGAAAAATGACGTTTGGCAAGAACCCCGGCCTAAATGGCACAATGAAAGGTGGTTTTGGGACTTGGTACTTATAAAACAATGCTAGTGCAATGTTCTCGCTGGAGGTAATCGTGTAATTATCTTTATATATTCTACAAAGTTTTTGACATTTGCAAAATATGTTGCCCTTTACTCCCACACAAATCTCAAAATATTTAGAATATTTCCAATATTGCACAAGCCAATTGTAGAACAATAATTTTTTTATGATTTCTGTCAATATTATTGCATTTACTTCAATAATAAATAAGTCAGTAACTTCCGAGATATTCATATAGTATCACTGCACTAGTGATCTAGTGCAGTTAGCCACTCAAAAAAAAAAACTGCTTTCTTTTATCCAGGACCAAAGAACACATTATAGGAAGGAGCAGTAATGATTTTATATGCTTAGACTTGTCCTGGACACTTGCCATATTATGGCCTATTTTATTCATTCTAGAGTATATATCAAATTTCTATATTACTTAGTGTTTACTGTGTCATGTTAGATCAATTCTGATAGATAGGTAAGCTGTAGAGTTGATATTAGTGTTGCACTGAAGTATTTTCTCCTGCCCCTGGGGCATTTTTTGGGGGGCTGGAATGGATTAATGGCATTTCAATTAATTTCAGTGAGGCATACTATCAAAGATACGGTACTATGTTCCACAATCAGCTCTCCTTGCACTGTATCACTCACTCATCTACCCTTATCTCACCTATGGAATTTGTGTATGGGAATCAACAACCTTAAATCACCTGAGACCACTAATTACCCAGCAAATGGCTGCAGTCAGAATGATAACAAATTCTCACTCCAGACAGCATACTCCACCAATATTCAAGAATCTGAAACTACTCGCCATAAAGAACATCCATACTTATTCTTGCGCCTACTACATACATAGAACACTACACTCAAACATAAACCCTCCACTCAAACTTCTCCTCACCAACCTTAATAGGACGCATGACCACAACACAAGACACAGATCACTTTTTGATGTACCCCTTGTCCACACCACACTATGTAAGAACTCTATGCACATAAAGAGCCCCAAAATTTGGAATTCATTACCAGTAAATACTAAAGTAACCCAGTCTGAACATCAATTTAAGACTCTTCTCCAAAACCATCTTCTCACCCTAAACTAAATATTAAATACTCAATACTTAAATTAAGATCTCCCAGTTACCTAAATCTTCACACTTCAAAATTTAAATAACCAAAGTTCATACATAACTTAATACTTCATTGTAGTATAAATATCAGCACAAAACTCTACTGCCTTACACCATATTGTAGCATTCTCATACTGTAAACTACTTTCACCAATGCTCAATATTATATTCCAATAATATAACTTAAATATTTATTATTGATATACACAACCGACAAAATACCTTCAGATTGTCCCAGTGTAATATCCCCAGATTGTAACTTGAGTTAACTTACTGTCTGCTTTAAATAAAAACAGATGTAAAACTTAAACAAACTATGATCAATTTCTCTGGTATTAAGTAGTCTGTAAGCCATTAATTTAGTCTGCCCATAATGCCTAGACATGATAGTGGCTCTCTTTGCACTGCAACTCATTATTTTAAGTACAGAATCTCAGTGTAAACTTGCAAAGAAATAAAAATTGTATTTATTAAGGAAAATTGATTTGACATACAAGCACATTGAGTTGCAAGCTCGGTCACAGAACGAATTAAACTCATAAGTCAAGGTACCACTGTACTTAGGTTGACTATCCATTTTAACATGGAGCAAAAGAATGCTTAAATTCTCACAATTATTGTTCTTTACACTGGCTGTATTCTTAATCCAAGAATAATTTAGTGATTTTCTAAACATTACATTGACATACACATTACATCAGTGACTACATCCTTCATACTTCCATTTGTTTCCTTTCATTTTACTTGTGGGTTTTTCTTTGTAGTTCTATGTTTGTTCCATTTTCTAAACATGTATAATAGAAGTACAATCTTCATAATTAGATTCTTATGGTGTTTTTGTGTCCAGTATAAAAAAAAATTTTCTCAGCATGCCAGCCATCTCCCACCAAGGTGGGGTGACCCAGAAAAGAAAGAAAAACTTTCACCATCATTCACACATAATCACTATCTTTGCAGAGGTGCCCAGATATGACAGTTTAGATGTCACACCAAACAGCCAATATCCCAAACCCCTCTAAAGTGCAGGCATTGTACTTGCCACTTCCAGGACTCAAGCCCAGCTAACCGGTTTCCCTGAGTCCCTTCACTACATATAACCCTGCTCGCACTCCAACAGCTCATCAGGTCCCAAAAACCATTCGTCTCCATTCACTCCTATTTAACATGCTCACACATGCCTAC